CAAATGGACTTATTTAAACATATTTATGGCTTACACCCAGTAAATAAGATCAATTGATCGATCTGTATTGAAAAACAAGTCAGAAAAAAACTTGGAACCAGCGGGACTTGAACCTGCATCTACTGCTTGCCGGGCAGCGACTCCACCACCAAGCCATCACTGGTCCATGGCACAGTCACGATGAACTGGAACAAATACCTATATAAGCTCTCCTGATTCATTCTGACTCATTAATATTCTTTAGTCCGCCATAGGACAATAACTTTTATAAATGTAATGCTTCCTGGGAGAAATTTCAAATTTTTCAATTATTTAAACATATTTGTGGCTTACACCCAGTAAATAAGATCAATTGATCGATCTGTATTGAAAAACAAGTCAGAAAAAAACCTTGAAACCAGCGGGACTTGAACCTGCATCCACTGCTTGCCGGGCAGTGACTCTACCACCAGGCCATCACTGGTCCATGGCACAGTCACGATGAACTGGAAACAATACCTAAGCTCTACTGATTGATTGTTTAAATAATTGACATTTCTCCCAGGAAGCATTACATTTACAAATGGACTTATTACAAAGGTTGGATTGCCCATCAAGCATATCTCACACGTTTCTGTTAATTTGACGCAGGTAGATGGTCTGAATCAACGCGTCTTGCGCCAGAGCTGTAAAGATCATCTCTCACCTCATAACAGTAATTGTGCTTGTCGCACAACTGTACGACTTGCATACATGGTGGGTGTTCACGTAGACTTGAACGACACGTCGAAGTCCAAATTTCAGGTTCAACGAGTTCAAGTCGAGTCGTGTACATCCGTTATGTACTAATATTGTGGAGCGGCAGGGTGATCAAGTCTGACAGATGTAAGCGCTAAACAAAAACAGGGACTTTTAGATTTGCACGACGAGAACCTGGACTACCACGTGTGACATCCTTTTAAGGCAATGTGAAGTCCTTTGCCTCAAAAGGAGGTCAAATATTGCCTCAAAAAGATGCACACTTGGCAGTCCACGTTCTCGTCATGCAAATCTAAAAGTCCCTATTAATGTAGCAAAGCCAACCTGCGTTGCTGGCCAACTCTCCGTAAAGACCACCTGTTTATAGTGCTCACCCATATTGCCTCTGTCTAGAAGGAAACGAGTTGAAGAACCTGTCTAGAAAGACCACCTGTCTACAGTGGCCACTTCTTGTGTTTCCTTTTTGTGGGTTTAATACACAGGTTTGACTACTATCTTCTTGCAGTGGAATGGAGGTGTACATTTTAGGAGTCATAATAATAGGGAACACTTGATTTGGACGTGAATCCACTCCGAATCAAAGTGAAATCCACTCCGAATCATAGTGAAATCCACTCCGAATCATAGTGAAATCCACTCCGAATCATAGTTAAATCCACTCCGAATCAAAGTGAAATGGCAGTCCACGTTCTCGTCATGCAAATCTAAAAGTCCCTATTAATGTAGCAAAGCCAACCTGCGTTGCTGGCCAACTCTCCGTAAAGGCCACCTGTTTATAGTGCTCACCCATATTGCCTCTGTCTAGAAGGAAACGAGTTGAAGAACCTGTCCAGAAAGACCACCTGTCTAGAGTGGCCACTTCTTGTGTTTCCTTTTTGTGGGTTTAATATACAGGTTTGACTACTATCTTCTTGCAGTGGAATGGAGGTGTACATTTTAGGAGTCATAATAATAGGGAACACTTGATTTGGACGTGAATCCACTCCGAATCAAAGTGAAATCCACTCCGAATCATAGTGAAATCCACTCCGAATCATAGTGAAATTCACTCCGAATCATAGTGAAATTCACTCCGAATCATAGTGAAATCCACTCCGAATCATAGTGAAATCCACTCCAAAATAGGGGTCGATTATGGAAGTGGATTTTATCATTCTGAGCGTGAAGCCGACTCCAAACGAAGTGGTCCCTAACAAGTCTCCTCAAAGAGTGGATTTAGAGAGTATCAGTATTTTCCTTTTGTGGTATATTATGTCACAAATAATATAGACGTCTATGATAGTCATTTAAATGTCCAGGTATACAAATAAATGTAAAAATAATATTGTTATGATATCCTTTGTAAATATATTGTAGTAGAAGTACTATTATTAGTAGTAGATAGCTAGCTTTTGCTGTAATAATAATGACAATGATGGTGATGGAGATATTGATCTTAATATTAACAATATTGATACTACTACTGCTACTTATAATAATAATGATAATTATAGTGACGTTAATATTAATATAATAATAATACTCATAATAATAATGATGATAACGATAATGAGGAGGAGAAGAAGGTGAAAAAGAAGAAGAAGAAGAAGAAGAAGAAGAAGAAAGAAGAGGATTATAGTAACCAAATTCCTCCCATTGATAATATTAAGCGTACTAATGATTATCATTTCTTATTTATGCATATTGTCATTAAATAAATTGCGTGTGACCGAGAATTCTACATCTTATGGACAGTGAAACATTGAAAATAAATAAAAAAAAACTGCCTCTATTGTCGGGTTGTATAGAAAATTATTGCTGTGTAAGTGTTCAGATGTTTTGTAAACTTGTGTCTCAGTCAAACCACGAAAATTAAAAAAAAATCTTTCGTTACCTCCTTCTTTCGCTGGAATGTTTTTTTTCCTGTAGCACTATGGTATCCGCTTATCTTCATATAAAACATTCTTAAGACATTATTTCTCCCCACCTCCGACTTTGCGGAAATACTCTTCAATGCATTAAATATCAGTTTTAACATCTATAATTAGAATTAAAAAAATACATTTAATATCTCTCCGCTCCCTCGCATAGTGCCCCTGCCCCCTCCCCCAAACTGTTAATGCCCTTGCATAGATAAAGTGAAAGGGTCTCGTGTTAGAGTTCCGGTGTCACTTTACCCACATCTATCTAATGTCCATATTTGGTCATGTTTAATGGAAGATACTTTATTTGCACAATTTATGTACTCAAGAAATAGGAAATAACGAAATAATCTATACCAGAAAGCAAAAGCGTTGCGAGTACATTATGCGAAATAATAGTAATAATACATTTAAGTATAATCCTTTATATTTAGGAAAAGATGACAGAAGAACAAAATTAGGCCTACTTATATCCATTTCTGTAAACTATGAAATAGTTCTATTAGTGCATGAGGTTCTATGAATTATAATGAATGTATATATTTATATATGAAACTCGAACTGATTAATGAGGACGAATGAGGAGTCCATAATATGGTCGGTTGACCAGTTTACCTCTCCAGATATGCTCACACGGAAAGAAATTGCCTTATTTTGGAGGAAGAAAAAACATGGAGGATATATGTATTCCTTTTCAAACATTTTTGTAGCGTTTACCACAATGACTGTTGCTTATGTCTGATTACGTAGGTTCTACGACTTATTTTCCTCCAATTTTTGCTCTGTGGTCAAAATAACCGAATCCCCATCTTCAAACATTGAAACAAACCCTATACCAAATCCTTATTGCTAACCTTAACTTAATTCGCTTAAGGATAACGTTGAGTTCTTGTCATGCAATAAGAAAAGTGGAAGAAAGTACAAACGTGTCTGAAAGCAATCAGGAAAGCCCGAACGTGTAGGACAGAAGAATTGACGTAAACTGTGGGGTTTTGGAATCCGCAAAATGACAAGAAATTAACGCGATCTTGCTGAAAATCACATGAACCACACAGAGATATTAGGGACTTTTAGATTTGCGTGGACTGATACGTGTGACGTCCATTCAAGGCAGTGCATTAAAAGGACGTCGATCGTAGCAATCCACGTTGTCGTTGTGCAAATCTAAAAGTCCCTATTGTACTCGACACAGAATTAATGTCCGGTATAAACTTTTCAGCTATTTCCAGCCCGATTTCGAATAATAGTTATGCGGATATTTTAAGAAAGTCATTCAGGAGACATTCCTGCTATGATATTCTTCCACAGTGACAAACAAAGAATGAGAAGGTTGATAAATTATTTTTCATCTTTTCCAGAACTCAACAGTTCAAAGTTACTTTCTCTTCGAAATCCCAACTCCATATCCCTACATGTTCTGGAGTTCTGGAAAAGGTGAAAAATAATTTGCGAACTTTTTCATTCTTTGTAACTATGTTTAGTGTGGAAGAAACGTATCCCTGAAGTGTTAACGATAAAGTTAAGTTCTGGTCATGCGATTGCATTGTGAAAGAAAAGGTGTGGAATGGATCAGAAAAAGTTGATCATGTAGCATGTAAGTATTGGTGTGTACTGCAAGATTCTGGAGTCATCAAAATCATGATAAATTTGGCCCAGTCTTAGTAAAGTACAAGCACTGTACACAGAAAGATGTATATAGGACTACACAGAAAAATAACGGGGCTACTAACCTCGATTTCCTTATCTTTATATGCTCATTACTCAGCCAGTATACATTTTCTACCAAAATTGTTTGGCAAATGACATTTATTTGTAATCTTGAACATTCAGTGTAAGTTTCGTTTGATTCTGTAAGAATTCATTTTCTTTTTTTTACCAGAACTCAAGTTTATCTTTAAGGATTGCTTTTCAAATGCCCATATATTCTGACAAGAAACAGCTAGTAGTTGTAAGCCATGTTTGAATGGTCCATTATTATAACTATTTCTGTATAAACTTTGTGTTACTTTTTGCAAGACTGTGTCAATTTCTTATCATTTTGATGATTCCAAAACCCCACAGCATACACTTATACGTATTATGACTGCTTCAAGACACTTTCTTTCAAAATGCAATCCGATCGCATTAACAGAACTCAGCTTTGTCTTTCAAAGACGGGGGTCACATTATGTCTCGGCAGAGGAATGGCAGTATACTGTGTTTCTTCAAGAAAATTCTACCACCGTACCATTAAATATTACAATGGACCCAGTGGCGCATGCAGTCTGCAGACACAAGAAGAAGAGGTTATTCAACCTCATGAATATTCATGAGCTTACCAATAGGCTATTTGTACTTTCAATCAATATTATCCTTCTTCATCGGATCACATCATCGCACAATACGGGCCACTTGCGTGGATACGAAGCTATTCATGGTAAACAACCATTTCGTCCGAACCATAATTCTTCCCAAGATTTTTGAAAGTGGTTCGCAAGAGTTGTATTTGCAACAGGAATAGCGTGATTCGGAGCGCGGTTTACAAGTATTATCAGGGTGACTGTCAACAATATCGACGGATTTCAAAATCTAGATCACGGCAGATCTTCCACATGAAGTTCCTCAGTAACGTCGAAGCGGCGATCACCAGTACTAGCTTGGTGATGTCCGCCAGAGTTCCGGACCAATAGACAGGTAGTATGTCATTGTGAAGTTAATGCCCGTGGACACAGGTTATTAGTGAAAGTGACAGTCACTAACAGCGAGGGGGTGAAATAGTGTTCGACGGGAACAGTACGAGAGTATAGCAGGAGGCGGCCAGTCTTACAAGCGAAGAGAAAGACAAATAAGGAGGAGGAGAGAAAAAAAGGAGGAGGAGAGAAAGAAAAAGAAGGAGGACGGGGAAGGAGAAGAGGAAGGAGGAGAAGAAGAATAAGAGGAAGGAAGAGAGAGAAGTAGATGAAGAAGCAGCAGGAGCAGAAGAAGGAGGAGAAGTAGAAGTAAAAGGAAGACGAAGAAAAGGAGAGAAAATATCAAAGCAAGGCGTAAGGCAAAGTTGCCTTGAATATCAGTGAGACAAGGTCATCAGACAATTTGTACCATAATACCGAACTTATTTGTATTTAAAGTGTATGGTTGAAACGAAACCATGGGATCAAAGAGCTCCAAGACATCTCCGAAGCCGAGAGTTGAAGGAGAAGATGGAGCCGATGGCGCCAGCAGCAGCAACAAGAGGAATCACCATGGAGAGACGTCTCTGAAAACGTCAAAAACGGACCCAAAGAGCTCCAAACGGAAACCCAAACGGAAGCTTACTCTGGACCCTCAGTTCTATCGCGGCAAGGATGTCCTAGCCGTCTTGAAAGCCGAGCAACAATTGCGGGACAGTACACTGGACATCAAGAGCAAGCTGACGCAGTCGAAGAAGTCGCTCAGGTCGGACGCTTCGGCATCGGACGCGTCTTGGTACACGGATAACAGCTCTGTGGAGCTCATTGATCACGAAGCCTTCCAGTACCCGTTTGAGAATGTGATCTTTGAAGGTGGTGGAAACAAAGGTTTGGCCTACGCGGGTGCTATCAGGGTAAGTCCGCATTTATTGATCTTCAGTTGAAACAATTTCTAGAATTGGCCTAACCATTCTTACGATTTACCAATGATGCTTAATGTAAAGACTTTAATATCTTAAACAATTTGTACCGCTAACCCTAAGAAAACCCTCGGGAGAATATATTTATATAACACCCCTCTACCCTCTTTGAGCAAAAAAGAAAGAAAAAGGGTTAAAAGATTAAATTTAAGTTACCATCTATTTTTAAAACTATTCCTCCCCTGGAACCGCCCCTGGAGTATTCTCAAGTTAAGCCACTGGGGTACACCTCTTTGTTAAGTGCCTCGTTATAAATTATTTAAATCACATGCTAAGAATAAGTGGATTTCAATAGTCAAAATGCGAATTGCACACATTACGTGTACTTAGATAGTACAATCCATAATCTTTGTCTTGCCTAGCAACAACTAATGTATGTAGTTCACATTCTGACTATTGAAATACAATTATTCATAAAATGTTAATGAATAATGTAAACCATGACACTTAAATTTGATAACCTTACGATAATGGTCTATATCACGATATCATTTCAAATTACATTGTACCCTTAAAAATTGCATTTAAAATCATTTGACAAAATACAGTTTGTTTAAGAACACAATACAATTTATTTTACAAAACGTAAACATTCCATTATTTTGTTCATTACGTGAATACAAAATATTCAAGAAAGAATATACAAAGTTAACATATCCACAATAGATAATGGAATGGTAAAAGTAATAGGTAATTACAATCACCGATTTACTGTAATATGTTCAATTCAATTCAATTCAATAATGGTTTATTAGGTAATTTCAAAATACATGCATCATAATTGTCATTTTACATGAAAAGCAGCAGAAGCTGGATTATTCATGTTTACATGCTGACATAATAATAAAGTGACAGGTTGCATTTTTAAATATTTACACGTTAAAAAGATTGTTAAAAATACATTCAAAATAACATTACACGTTAAGAATAACAAAAGAAAGATTTATACTCTCGTTTAAAATGAATACATTGGATTTTAAGACTAAACACGACTGAGGTGAAGACTAGTACTGTGTTTGAAAATTAACATGTAGTTAAAAAAGCATTTAAAAATGGTTAATCAGATTGATCAAATATGGTAAAGGGCTATTTTTGAAGCGATTGGTTTTGCATTTGAAATTATGATATGTAGGAGTCTGACGTAATGACATTCTAATTTTTTTTTTTGAAGGTAGCCAGTTCTGGCATGCTGGGTGAGTTGTTAAAGATTTTGCAAATTTTATACACAGTACTAGTCTTCTTTCCTCAAGTGTACTTAAATTGCATACTTGACATGCATGTGAGTATGACATAAAATTAGAGCCTAAAATAATTTTGCAAACCCTCCGTTGTATTCGTTCAAGACTGTTTTTCTGTTCAGATGTAAGACCACTATGAAACACAGGGGCGCAATATTCTAATACTGGTCGTATATAACCTGTGTAGATTAATACTAAATCATTTAAAGGTAAATTAAATTTCTTGAGTTTCCTCAACATATACATTTTTCTATTACATCTTTTCATTAGCTCATCTATATACAAATTCCACTTTAGATCAGACTGGATGATCACTCCAAGAATCTTAGCACTATGCCTATTACACAACTCGGTGTTGCTAATAAAAAGAATTTCTGGATCTGGTGGATTTTTCATGAAACTAACTTGGAGGGTAAAACACTTTAAAGGATTTAGTGACATATTATTCACAATAGACCAAGATTGCACAGAATTAAGTACTGATTGTAATTGTGAGACATCTGTAGATTTCCGACATTGTACTAACGAGAGGTCATCGACATATTTAAAATATGGTATAGAAAGTTGCTCACATAAATCGTTAACCATAATTAAAAAGAGAATTGGCCCAAGACGTGTACCTTGGGGAACACCTGCATGATTGAATTCAACATTTGATAAAACACCGTTATATTTTGTATTTTGTTTACGAAATTCTAAAAAACTGGCAATCCAATCTATTATCCAAGGTCTTATATCCATATGAATCATTTTTCTAATAAGAATATTGTGATCTATGCGATCAAAAGCTTTACTAAAATCTGTACAAATAACAGTTGACACAGATTTACTGTTTTCTGCATTTTTATATAGACTATGTAAAAGACCAATAATATAATGTGTAGTAGACAGGCCAGGTCTATTGCCAAATTGGTGAGTGTCAATATGTTTATCAATATCTTCTAATAACCATTTTGCTATAAAGGATTCTGCTACTTTGGAAAAATATGAAGTCAATGCAATTGGGCGTAGATTATTAATATGAGGAGGTTGAGATTTTGGAATCGGACATATTTCTGCAGTTTTCCATTGGGTCGGAACTTTTCCTTGTCTAAAAGATTGGTTTAGAATCTTCGTAAATGGTACACTCAATTCACATGCAAATTCCCGTATAATGCGTACCGGTATATCATTACTAACGGATGCTTTTTGCAATTGTATTTTACGTAATTTACAATACACTTCCCAGTTACTGATTTCTGGGCTATTGCACTTTGAAGGTAAAAAACATGGTAAAGTCCTCCTATCTAAGGGAGGAAGATCAGAGGCAATAGACACAAACAAATTATTAATTGCGTTAGCAGCTTCTTTATAACAATGAGGTTTTTGTGATTCAATACCAGGAATAGTAATTGGAACGGGGTCACATTTACCATTTGTAAGTATTTTAATATGTTTGTACCAAGCAGACGGATTATTCAACTTTTCTCTTTTTATACGAGAATTGTAATAATTCTTTTTAGCAACAGATATAGCTTCAGCAACTTTATTGCGTAAATGTTTCCAAAGATAATTATTTCCTTTCTTAAAAGCGTTTTGTCTATCACGGATAAGTGATTTTAAATGTGGAGTTACCCATGGTTTATCAGTATTGCATAATTTTATTTCACATGTAGGCAAGTATAAATCAAGGTGAGTTTGAAGAGTATCGATTAACCTGGTACACATTAACGTTAAATCAGAGTTTTGAAAAACTTCCTCCCATGTATGAGCAGTTAACCACTGACCAAACAAGCGTATCCCACTGTCTTTCAATGGACGTACAATCTTGGTTTTCTTTTTAGTTGTTCGTTTAACAAAATTATCAGGAGACCAAATGATACAGTTGTGGTCACTTTTGCCGATTGGTGGAAGAGTAAAAATATTCGTATAAAATTCAGAAAAATTTGTGTAAATCTTGTCAAGTATGTTACAATCCCTCGTGGGTTTATCCACTACTTGTTTAAACCTATCATCTCTTACGATTTCTCGAAAGTTAAAATCATTGAAATCACCTAAAATTGATATCCCTGCATCGGGGTGCTTAACATATAAAGAATCTACAGTCATGAGTATATGATCAACATAATCAGAACCATTTGGATTTTTCGGCGGAAAATAAAGAACACACAGTATGATACAAGATAATTGTCTCGGTAAGTGTGGTGGTCGTAACATTACCCATATTGCTTCAATATTCTCTGGCACAATAATATCACTTAAAAGATAAGGTTCTAGTCCATGTTTGGCAAGTAAAGCTACTCCACCTCCTTGTCGACCTTCGCGTGGCTTCGAGAAAGTGGCGAATCCATCAATGGATAGTAACTCTAAAGGTGAGTCTTTAACTTCCCAAGTCTCCGTCAGCGCTACTAAATCAACACCGTTGTCTTTCACAACAATTTCAAGCTCATCCAATTTATTGTTAATCGATCTTGGATTTGTAAGTAGAATCTTGGGTAAATTAAAACCGTGACTTTCGCACCTATCTATAGGAATCTGACAAAGATTTAAAAGATTGGTTCGTAATTTATTGTTATTAAACCGATTTCTTCTATGTTGAATTATAACTGGTATCGAGCGTGTTGATTCATCGTCTGCTACATGTACGTGTGTAGGCTTAGAAAATAGAAGTAAATCCTGTCTCTCTAGTCTCCTTCGTCCAGCTCGTTTGCCACGATGGTGAATTGGTTTCCGTTGGATTCCCAAGCTCTTGATGGTATTCCATACTGTAGGTAGCAGTTGGGTTGTTTTTGGTGTGTTTCTTAAGGCATATAGTTGAGATAGAGGGTATTTACGGATGACTTTAGTGCATGCTGTAGATAGAGAAGGGCCTGGGTTAGGGTGTATGTCTCCACATAATAGTAGCTCAAGTTGAAATGTTGAATTGCAGTTACTATAATACGAGATGCGTGCTGATAAGTACTTGTGGTGAAAAAGTTTTGGAGATAAAACACCCGAAAATAAGTTGAGTTGTAGAATACAAACAGGTAAGTTACTATATTCAGTTCTCAGAGTGCATAGTGTACATACAAATAGAATGCTCACCGATAGTTTCATGCTGCATTGACACCGGTCTATTCATAGCAAACCAGTCAATTGTGCACTCCATTGTATATATGCTTGAGTGAATATGCTGCAATGTCAGGCGAGCTAGTACTCCACACGTAAAAATGTATCCACACGTAAACAAAAATGGCTGCACTTAATCACTGAAGACGGCAAAGTCAGATTACTCTCATCACATCAAATAGAGAGTACAAAATCACTGCACGAAATGTCGAAAAGTGTCCATGTGCTATAATCCTTCGACTGTTCAAGTCTTTATCTAAAATAGACACTGATAAATTGCATTAATAACGCAAAAAGCTAGGAGCTCATGTAGGAAAATGTCAGCTGCCTCCGGGCGCTAGTCATAGTATGAGTACAAATAAGGCATATAACTATCCAAACATCTTGGATTTGATCTCGATAAAGCCCCGCATCCCTCGATTTATTCGATTGAGATGTCCATGAGGAGCACGCCGAAACGTCGATAGTGGCTATTGTTTCCATTGACTATAGATAAGAGCCCCAATTCCACCCTCTTCCAGAGTTTTATTGGATGTATACAAGAAAGCATTCCGTGTCAACTAACAATGAATGATGTACATAATGTAATCCGTGTCATGCATGGATGAT